AGAGCGAGACAGGAAAAACCCCTCGCGCCTTCTTCACAGCAAAATAACAGTTTTACACGAGTGTAAGGCTGGGCTGATGAAACGCAGTCCCTGCAGCGTTTCATCAGCCCAGCCTTACACTCGTCTGCTTAAAGACGACTTGAAAATACAGGACAGGTGAGATGGTGAATGTGATGAATGATCAGGCGAACACTCACGTCTGCAGTTGGGGAATCCCCAGTAACCCGTGGAGCACATGGAGCAGTCTCGTCCAATCACGTTGGGCCTGCAGCGACACTGACCGCCAAAGCGTTCGCAGGTGTCGCTCTCAGCTCCGACTTCGTGGCAGGCACAGGGCAGCGCGCCGTTGTTGACGAAGGCCGACAGAGATATGGCCGAGCTGAGGCAGAACGGCGAGGAGGAGGGACTGCGGGAGAGAGGAAGAGTTCACACCTGTGAGGATGACGCTAACACGCTAAACCACTGCCCAGCATCTTCACCCGCTCACCTGATGTAAAAGCTGTTTTGACCGCAGAGTCTGATGAAGTCGTAGGATTTGTCCAGCGGCTCCTCGCTCAGGTAGCTGGAGCTGTAGCTCGACTCAGGAACAACCAGCAGGTAATCCTGCAGACACGAGGAACAACGTCAGCTGCTGCCTCACCCCCCCCTCAAAGGAAAAAACTATCCCTGAACATCATTCTGCAGCATCGCTGTGATGCAGAGCGGCGACACTGACCAGCCACAGCGTCTTCCCCGCAGGTATCTGCACCGTGACGAGTAGCTCGTGGTCCGTCACATCCAGAATGATCTGATTCTCCGACACCAGGACGTCACGGCAGCCGTAAGCGTGAGGACAGAACGAGGCGTTGACGTGTCCTGAGGAACAGGAACAAAATAGAGCCAATCATCAGCCCCCACCTGAAGCTGCAGTTCCTCTGATGCCCAGCAGAGGCAGCAGTGAGTCAGTCCCACAGGCTTCTACATGATTTTTAGCCTAAAAGTTTGCATTATTGGGGGCGTGGCCTCTGTTACTGACAGGCGGCTGTAGCTGCTAGCTGTCTGCTAGCTTCACCTGACCTCTGGGCCCGTTTGTGCTGTTGGAGGAGCATTTTTAGTGACATCATGTGACCAATAACAGGGCGGAGCTCCAGTTTTGATGCACAGTGAGATTCATGATTTTGATTGGATGTTACTGGTTAGCAGGTGTGTGTGTGATGCACATGCAGTCTGAACATGTTTCATTACAGCTTTGAAAACTGAAGCTCCAGCCTCAGGTGTATGTCCATCTTTTATATACAGTCTGTGGTGAGAATGACTAGCTTGTTGTCAGTGACGCTGATCCAGGATCAGACTGTGTCCTTACCCTGCCAGATCCGCCCCCCGTTAATGAAGACCTGTACGGGGTAGGTGGGGTGCAGAGGCTGGTGGTAGTGGAGGATGAACA